GGRAAAAAAGACAAAACAACAAACAAAATATTTCATAAACGTTTATTGAAGTACTGTTTAGGAAAATGTTGAAAATRTCATATGTAGTATTATAATTATTTTCATCTGGAAATAATTTTACGATGGTTGACTGATTCTCTTTTCTCTCTTTTCAGCCAACTTCATTTTTAGGGTAAGGAAGGAAATTGAAGATTCTTTATCTTGCGTCTTAGCCATTGTTGAAATTGTGTTTTTTATTTGTTGTTTGTAGAAATCATTGTCAAATCAATCGTGCACAGAATCTCTACGTTTACCACTTGATTCGTCGGGAATCAGTCCTCTGCACCTAATGGTATTGTCATATGTTAACTTAATCTATAGCCTAAATGAAACTATCCTCCATTACATTTTGCACTCTAATTTCCATTTTTCTCTTCCTTTTTCTATTCTCTATTCTAATCTCATGTATTTCATTTTCATTTCTTTCTCTTCACTTCAATTCCGGCTCCATCACTGTTTCTTCTTAATCGTTTCTGTCATATTCTGATTTCCTTTCGTCTCGTCTCTTTCTTCCCCTCCCTGTTCTCTTCTCTTCCTTTCTGTTCACTTCATTTCTCGTTTTTTTTCTTTCTTCTATTTCTTCTTACGTCTGCGTTTCTCTTTTCGTWTGCAGGACTTGTTGGTATCCCTGTGGTTATCGAGTACGAGCCAACCTTGTAATGATGTCAAAAGCTTATTTCCTTTGCACTCTATTGTGTCCATAATTAGCTCTATCGCAGGTATTCGTCTATTTCARTTGATTGGGAGGTGGAATTTGCTCGAGGGTTTTGAGTGGAGACCAGGGAAAATTGGTGTGACAATTATGCGTGCGCGTCAATCTATCCCGGCTCCTGTGTTTCCACATATAATCCATTAGATCTGTCAGTGGTGTCATTTATTTCTTGTCTATTTTTTCACTCTAGGTAGTGAATTCGTCGATGGTTTAGAATCTGAGCCCGATGATAGCTCTGTGTCACCATGGTGGGAACACGTGCGTCAGACTCTCGCCCAGTCTACCTCGATTGCTAMCGCGCTGTCATTGGCGGCTGTATGTCGTAGTGTTGCTTTGGGAATGAGTACTGCAGCAAAGAAAGTGCAGGTACAATTGTTGAACAAACGGGTAGTGCAACAGGGACCGCGGAGCGTGAATTTGTTTTGGGGGGGCTAGCGGCGAGGAGGTACTAGGGGGGTTCGGAAATTTTTGAAATCTTAATTCTCGGAAATGTTATTTCCAGTGTTTTGAGGTGTTATCAATTTTTTTACCGCACTCACGTTCAGTTTTTGCACAATTTTTATAGAATATATATGGTGAAATTTCATAAGATGGCTCTTCGCTTCTTTATTTAAGAAAATTCAAAATTTCGGAAAAATTATTGGGGGGGGGGGGGGGGGGGGTTGCCCCCTAGCCCACCCTGCTCCGCGGTCCATGTGTGCAATAGATGTTAGCGTAGGACTTTCAAAGGATTGACATCATGAAAACTTAGTAGATCACTTCGGAATTCTCTGCTCCATTATTCTCTGCTCCATCTTGAAAGGCCTTTGATAGAACCTTTTATTGAACCTCCCCACTCCATTTATTTTTTTACTGTACCACGTGGTCCTAGAGAAATAATCACTTTTCTTGTTCTTTAGAGCGAAGACATGGAAGCAGAGAGCAAAGCTTTGGCCGTCGGAGACTGGGTATCAATCTCAGTTGAAATAGAGCGATGGAACCTRTTGATATTTCAATTKGATGACGTCATAACAATTAAGACGTTCGTTAATCGACTTCCTTTGGTGTTAGGCTGTCAACCATGTGTCATGGTTAAGAACGAGAACACTAATGGAAACGGTACTAGGAACGTAGAATTGTCAGTAGTCGGTAAGAAGAGCRTCTTGCATTCATTTTTATTGTTTCCTTTTTTATCCCTCATTGTATTTTTCCGAATTCGAAAATTCTGTGAAAATGTATGTGACGTCATAAYGAAATAGGACACTTCAAAAGATTTTTACAGTTTAAAATGCGTGTTATCAAAAGTTGTCCAATATTTTCCGATTCTTGAGAATAAACTATTGTGACTTTCTATTGAAGGTTTGCTGAGTGGTGGAGTTGGAGCTTCAGCTCGAGTTGTTGCGCAATACTTGGCATTGTATGACGTGCCACCTGAATTACTCGGGCAACCCAGGAAAATGGAAGTAAAACAAGTCGAGGTATCGGAGGAGGAAGAAGCCGAGACTGGAGACGATGACCGACCTGACGAAATTGAAGTGGAAGTTGTYGACGAGAAACGACTTGAAGGTTAATTTTGTGTGACGTTTTTCTGACTTATTARTCTTCCTGTTGGTTTGATTTTCTCTTTGCTTTATGTCTGTCTGACGTCCCTCTATCAATTTGATCCTGTTGTTCTACTATCGGCTTTCAGTTAACATKTTTTCATTAATCGATAGGTCTCGATAAGCTCCAAGCGAAGTTCCCTCATAGCCTCCATCAAGATATTCTTTGGGCTTCCTGTGCTCTCGAATGTGTTGCRCAGTGGTCTTGCGAAAAGGAGGTAACACTGAGCATATAAGACTATAAGTCGATTATATTTCATGTTATTTTAACCCAATGAGTCGGTTATTTGTTATTGTCTTTTCTTGTAGAAAACCAACAAGYTGTTCTTAGCGATCGATCATATTAAATGCATACACTGCCTTGGATTAAAGCACGGTACGTTATCAAATACCACTTAAAATCCATCCAGTAAGACGTACTAGTAGATTAGATCAGTATTTAGGTTGATATTTTTACTTAGTTTGACCAATCTGTTTTTATTCGCAGGAGTGGCATCTATTCTGTGGAAAAAGCACTTCCGTGAAAAAATTTCGGCTTTAGTTTTTCTAATGGAAAAGGTAAGAGAGTGAATTGCAATTGTGTATTGTTCTCCATCATAATAAGACGGGGTTTGATTGGTTTGTAGGTTGGCAAAGCTCCCAAAGATCGTCTATGTAGAAAGGTAAGAAAAGATGACTCCTTGCATCCCCTCCCACCTCCCCCCACCACAAGTCATCGCTTCGCTTCTTCTTGCTCTCTACACATATTATATTTATATCATTCCTTTTTTCAGACCGTGGATATTGGGTACTCTTCTCTTGTTGAATTTCTTAGAGCAGCAAAAGTGATATTAGAATTGATATCAAAGGTATAATGATGTTATACTTAGAATAGTGACACAACTGATCAGAATTCAAGTGCGTATTTTGGAGTCTGTGTGTGTGGTGGTGGTGGTATTTAGTGGGCATAGAATGCAAAGTAGTAAAAGGTGTTAAAAGTACTAACCAAACAATGCTTAATACCGCAATATTAGACAAAAGAATAGAAAGAGATTCGCATATTTCAGTATAGTTTTAATTACTAAAATTTTCCATGGCATTAGTCATTCACATGTGATCTGTTTTTAGATTGAAATGTCAGATGCGGAAGTCTTGGTTTTACGTAGCGAGGATTTTTGGCATACTGGGAAAAGGTTTGCTCGTATAAAATCGTTACATCTACATTTTGAGAGTGCCTGCTTTTTTTATTAATACGTGATTATTTTTCAGCAATAGAAAGTCCCTAATTGAGGATGCCTTGGACCAGCCTACTAGTAATGTCCCTCTCGTTGAGCTCCACATTGTATTAGTGACCATAATGTGGATAATAATGGCCCTAGATATGAAGAGCGTGCGACCACTGTCACTTTTTGATAGTACGGTAAGCTTCTCTAATAAACTACACCAGGAAATGTGCAGCGACGCCATTTTACTGAGCAAAGCATGACGGTATAGTGTCGTCCTCACGATTTTTGAATAATTTTAACAATCCAGTTACATGTTTTCTTTGATAAAATGCAAGTTTTGCAGTGACAAACGTTTTATAAATCGCTTTGTATTGTGTTTTCATCTAAATAGACGAAAGGAGCATTTGCGAAGGATTTAAGCACCAGTCCTCCTCTGTCAGGCTCCTTGAATGAATCTATCTTACAAGCACGGAACAAGGTATTTGTGCAACTCTCCCTTGAATTCTCTTTCTGAATTCTCTTTCTATTGTTGGTATTCCTGTCCCTCCTGATTCCCTCTTTCATGTTGTATCACTCATATTAATAACTATTAATTATTAYTAATTATTCTATCCTCAGTTTTTAACACGGGCACTGTCAATGTACGTCACATCCATGGCAACAGTTGACGGGTCAGCGGACCGTCAATCAAACAAAGAAACTTCTGATTGGTCAATTGTCACATTGTGGGTTGCCGAGCAACTGGATGTAGACGTCGACTCGCTGCGTAGGCATTTTGTTTGTGAACTGTATTCAGCTGGTCTAGACAACTATGGCAGCGAGGTGGGAATTCAGCTATTTATTTTATGTTATCTACTTTTAGTTTAACACTTCTTCTGTTTAAAACATCTCTCTAKCTATTTTCAACGCTGTTTTCTTTGTATTTTTTATTAGGCTCTTCTTTCCGTGCGAGAAAAACAGTCAGTTGGACCCAGTCTTCTTGTGATTGTTGGCCAACGGCTTGCGCACACATTAAGCGAATCAGAGTCAWCGAAGAGCGTCAATCAGCTGTCAAGATTACCAACCCACATCAGTCGATGGATCAAGCATCAGGTATGGAATGATATATGACACGTCACATGTCACATGACCTCAGTACCAGGCATTTGTGATTGTATCTTTTAATCTACTTGAGTAATAAGCATTCTCCCAGTATAAGCGCTTTCAACTACTTTATGAACATCGTTTGTATGCATTGTATAGAGTGGATTTCGTATGAGTGGGAAACGGACGGTACTGTACTGTGACCGTAATCATACTGTAACCAAATTCTAGTGCCCCATTGGTTCACCAAAATTTTGCAGGCYAGGTVCGGTRACTGTGCGGTAAMYGTGYGGTAACGGTGTCCCACTCATACGAAATCCGCTCTAGTGTATAAAGATACCGCGAGAGCGGCCGTTTACGAGTGAAATAGAACCCGCTATTGGACCAATCAGTACGCGTAAGAATATTTACACCTGTGTTGCATATTTCCAGGAGCCTTCCAAGCTCAGCTGCCGAAGTGTTCCTCTTCTACAAACCAATGAACTTCTTAGCATCGTCCTAACATTACTTCCCAATGACTCATCAGATTTTACCCTCGCGTCGAATTTATCAGAAGCCTTCAAGTCACTACTACATTAAAAATCGACCGCGCTGAACAAACTGATATTCTGACTTTACTTGAAAGCGTAACAGTAATTAAAGTTCATTATAGCAGTAGTCTTTAGTCCTAACCCTTTTTTACTGCGTCTCATGGCCATTAATCAATACAGAATGCAATTCTAGATTATATTCTAAGTTTTGGTATAGTTTTACTTTGTAAATATATAGATAAAACCAGAGCAAATGATTTAAAGCTGTATTGAAATTACACCTAAAAATAATTATAGTAAATATTAATACATATTAATTCACATTCGCTCGACTGTTCTTACTTTTTAGTTTCTGACTACTATAATTTCATTGAAAAATCGATAATTTTCTCTCATTTTAATCAAATATTGGTGATTTTTGCCGT